TTCAATAAAGAATTTTAATGAAGTTCTATCTTTTCGAAAATAATGAAATTATAAGAAATTAAGCGATTGGATATTCCTTTTAAATTTTTGATAAAAAACAGAAATTTTTGGCTCGGCCCAGACTTCGATGGGCCAATTCCACGATCAATGGCGCGTTATAGCTTCATGGGACCATACGAATTTGAATAAGGGGCCTCGTATACAGCGTTGACTTTAGGGGACTGGGCATGATACAGCTGGAAACGATCGCCCACGAAAACGATCCCGGAGTTTTCTGCTCCGATTTTATCCTAGGTAGCCCAGAGCAATAGGCTGACGCTTTAATAGCCCCAGCCATCCTGCCGACTAAGTTTAAAATGAAAATTTACTAAAATATACAATTTTAAAGTTATTTGACTTATCCTGTATCTTGTTTTTAGAAAAGGTTTATAATTTTTAAACATTACCTTATTGCCGATTTATTACAGCATCGTAAAAAACATTTTTTTGTAAAATATTTTAAAATTCGTTTTAATTCTTTATTAACTAACAAGTGACTTACAAAATCATAAAATTTTTTACTAAATGTCAAAGAATTTTCTGAACTGAAATATACTTCAATATGTTTCTTACTTCGGGATCCTCCATTATAACCACTTCTACAACTGGTTTCTAGAAAATAACAATTATTACTTTTAATTTAAATCAAATCTAGAATTAGTAAAAACTTATATATGTTACCACTAAAGCTCGAAAGTCCTTAATGTGTACATTCCTTTTTTTTTCAATACCCCTTTCTTTTCCAATACCATTCATCTGTGAATATATAATAGCGCTTGATGATTTTAGGCAACATATAGACAGAATATAATAAAATAAATTTAACAATATATGCACTATATATTTATAAATGCACGATGATGCAGGCAGTAAACGTGTCCGCCTTTCGATCTCGTGGATCTGGGTGAATTTGAGTAGTTTGTTATCATATTAACAGAAGGGTGCCGTTTTTTAAAACTAACAGATTGTATCCTTTATATTTGACAATATCACTTGATAATGCTTCAAACATCAGTCGTTTATATGGATATATAGTCGGGAAAAAAGCATGCCAGTAATTCCCAAACTCTTCGTGATTTATCCTCAGATTTTTATTTCAGAAGAGTGTGGCTACAGAATAATGGTAGCAAAAAAATAATGTGGACTAAAAGAGTTTATATGCTTTGTGCAATTAAACCTATGCGAAAAGTAAGGTTAAATTTCAATTTCAATAAAAATTAAATTATAAAAATTATAATATGATATTTTAAATTTTAGACAACAAAAATTAAACAGTAGCAATACGAAATTCTGTTGTGTATTTTTTATGTCAATTTTAGATGCAGATAATGAATTTTCAATTCATAAATCATACATTTGTGACGTTATATTGCATTATTTCAACAGAAATTCTTATATTTAAATTACTATTTTTCCTTAAATGTAAAATTTATGTTAATTATCTGATGTTCCTCAATTATTAATTCAACTTATTAAATATAAAGAAATTAATTTTCTATTATTTAATATTAAATTCTTAAATAAAATTTCAATATAAATATTAGAATAGCTGTAAATCACTTTTCACAAAAATATTCAATTGCAAAGACCATGATTACGTTGGCGTCCCGGCTAAAAAAAAAAAAATTCAAAATTTAATATTTCGTATAAAGCGCACAATATAAATTTAATATAAATTAACTGATTTTTAAAAAATCATGTTTTCAATTGTTTTGTTGCTTAAATCATATATATTTATGGTTTTTTGAGGGAGGTAAAAAGCTGCTTCACTTTTAACACTCCATTTTAAAGTAGAGAGTAAGAGGACCTTTTTTTCATATTCATAATAGAGCAACCAGATAGTCAAAAACGTGGCCATACATGTTAATTTTTCTTAGTTAACTAACTTTTCGAACTTCCTGTATATTTATATAAAAGACAATGATTTCATAATCGAAAGATTTTGCATTAATTTTTATGGTTTAATGCTCCTATTAAAAAAATACATAATTTTTATATTAAAATGTAAAAGAATAATTTTTCCTCAATTCTTATCTTGTTATTTTCCTTTTTTCCTTTATCTTCTTCAACAATATGCTGCAACATTCGTGCATAAATTAGCAATGAGAACAAATATCTGACCGTAATAAATTGAATCGTTAAAAGTTTTGTAAAGGAAATTTTCTTTATAAGTCCATCTTAAAGGGTCATCAAGTATCATTCAGGCAGACCCATGATTATATGAGACTGATGGAAAATAATAGGGCCCGACATATTTTTATGAAAATTGCCAACGAAAAATGTTTGTAGTTCTTCGCCTGCCAGATTTTATCCTGAATGCCCCGAAAAGTTACTTCCGCGATCTGCTCATATTAATATTCATAAGATTACACTTACCACAATAACTTCAGGAAAAACGTCAAGTGTACCTGCATCTACAGCCTAAAAATTCAAATTTATAAATTTACTCCCTTACTTGGCGTTACCCGGGATTATAAAAGAAAAGTTTAAAATATAATAAATTGTTAATTTTACGAAAATACTGTTTAAAGAAAAAAATATCCGAGTCCTTAGATATAATAATCTGACTTTAACATCAAAAATGAAAAAAACACAGTATAACCTGGAAATGTAAAGATGCTTTTAGGAAGTTTTCCGAGTAAATTAATATTTGATCCGTATTAAATAGGTTGTGATGGCCCAGCTCATGGCTCATTTTAAAGAACATTTTCAGTATGCCTAAAACTCCTTGGAAATTATGTTCTTAGATAAAGCGAGTTTAATAATAAAAAATTATTATAATTAAGAAAGTACCATTTAGAAATGAAATTACCCGAGTTGTTAGATGTGAAAAATCAATTACTTATATAGTTTGTATAGTGTAACACTTTCAACCTAGGCCAGGTGAGTGCTTTTTACTAATGTCGCAGTAATGATACAGAGCACCTATTANTTAATAATAAGAAATTATTATAATTAAGAAAGTACCATTTAGAAATGAAATTACCCGAGTTGTTAGATGTGAAAAATTAATTACTTATATAGTTTGTATAGTGTAACACTTTCAACCTCAGGCAGGTGAGTGCTATTTACTAATGTCGCAGTAATGATACAGAGCACCTATTAGATCAATTTTGAATGCACATATGAGCAAGGAACTGCCGTTTTCTTGTTCACTCATATTACAGTATATGCACTGTTAGTGATCACTTTCTTTGTTGTGAAAAATCCTTAACCTTTTTGTTCTGTTCTTTTGTACAGAGGATAGCCCTCATCTTTGGTTTGAATTCCTGCGAGGTAAACTTAGATTAATTCGCCCACATAAACAATGAATCTTGTTTTTTTTCATAACGTCAAACGAAACGATATCTTCTTCGATATTTGAAAACTCCGCCGAAATTACATTGTTAATTTGAGTCGAGTGAACTTTCTCTTTAAACCAAACCAATGTATGTGTGTGTGGTGGCCCACTATTTTATAATTCAATTAAATACATCAAACAGCGTGTTATACCATAGATCGAATGTTTAGTTATAACCCTGTAAATAAATGAGCATTATAAAATAAAAAATGTGAGTGTTAGTTAAAAGGATCAAACATAATGGTGTCTTGCTTGAATGCATTACTGTCTTTATCTAGTGACTGAAAAATAATTTCTTTATGAAACATAAATTATCATTGATTTTTAAAAAAAAACTTACTTGATAGCTATATCCTATGTTAGAATCTCCCTAAATATAATTTTAAATTTATTTAAATAATTTTCTACGAATAAACATTTTTAGTTCTTTGAATTATTAATCGAAATATTGTTTAAGAAAGCATAATTATAATTATAATATTTATTATAAGATATAATATAATAATTTCAATTCAATGGCATTATCGTGTGGAAAATGGCACCAAGGATGTCTGAAAGAAAAAACTCCAACCTCCAAACTCTCTTTGCTATGTCAGTTTTAGATTTGTATGAAGCAGGAGCTTAGGTTAAACTTAATGACTCATTACTCATCACCACCGTACATCATACAACAAGAATTACATTCAATACTTTAATATTTCAAAACTGGGCTATATGGTTACCAAGAATTACAGCCCGTTCGTAACAGGCTCCGTACCAAGATTTAGAGCAGCACAATGCATCAGGCTAAACATTATCTGTTTGGAAACACTAAGCAACTGTGCTATTTGATGTCTCACTATTTACATTTTTGTAAAAAAATGCGAGCACTGGGTCTTTAGTCTATGACATCGAAGAACCATAAACGTCAGGTCTTATATCTGTTGACCCTATATCATCACGGTATATGTGATTGTTAAGTTGACGTTGCTCGCACAACAATTTTGGCAACGTTGCTGCTATATTAAGTTTCATTTCATATCATTGTAAATCTCCAGCAAATACATTGAGATTTCCTGGTATAGCAATTTCTATGAACAATAGTTTACATACAATTTTTGCAGTGTTTACATCAATTTATAACGCATTTAATATTTTGCTTATGTTTGCAGTACTAGCCTAAACATTACTTTGAATTTATCATTGAACATTACTGTATAGACCAATATTTATTCAAATATATACTGTTACAATTCTTATAGAAATGATCTACTTGATTTAGCTTTAACACTATCTCTTATGCAACTATAATTAGAGCATTGTATTTAATTTAAAATTTTAATATATACTTACTAATAAAAATTCGAATATCTGAATATAAATTGTAAAAAATAGATTAGTAAAAAAGAATAATATATATTCTTAAATTAAATTTATATAATTATAATAAATGTAAATATAAGAAATCTTCACATCATATGCCATAGCAAATGGATTCTTAATTAATATAAATATTGTAAAAGTTTAAAATTTGAAACGAATGATGTAATACCCAACCTTGCTGTGAATTCATTTCCTACGACTTTCAGTTTTTCTACCTGACAATATAACAAATTTAAAAATTAGAGTGTAAAAAGAAAAGAACATTCACTCCAACGGGACACGAAACAACCGTGTCAATATAAAACTAACGCACCAAGATGTAAATTATGAAGGCTTTAATTGAGTGCAAAGAGACTTCAACGTCATGCTGTTACTCGTAAGCACGTAATGGTCCAGGTATATGCTAATTTCTTACATACGTGTATGTTAGATCACATTAAATACACATATAAAGCCAGTTATAATGTTGGATATACAAAATATACAAGTAATGCAATTAAAAAATTAAGTGCTTTTGCAAAGAGGCAGTGACGTCAAAGTCATGTGGCATCTTCAGCCAATTTCCGTGATAATTTTTTTTCTACTTCTAAGCGCTTGTTGCCTCCGTTCTTCAACGTCATACTCGAGAGTTCAGTGCGGAAACGAGCCGAAGAAATGGCGAATCGAGAGGTGCAAAGTGGGTAAGTAGTTGTATTATTTTCTGTATATAACGTTTCTACATGTGTGGGCGCAAAATAATTTTACATAGTTTGCTATTGACTATCGTATGTGTCTCTTTTATAAAAAAATTGAGAAAGAAAGCGATGCTGTACTGTTATCGGAAGCTTAAAAAATAACGTGATAAATGACATAAGTTAATTTTCTGTCTGTTATTTTTACTTATTTCATCACATATGTTCGCTTCAATAAACATACTCTTAGTGAATTTTTATATATAAATTTTCTAGAATATTTAAACTAAATGTATTTAATTAATAAAAGTTTCAACTGTCTTACGGGAGACAATGACTAAGCAAAACTTCACAAAAAGCTTATTCCCTTGTGTAAATAACCGTCTTTTCACAATGTTCGAACTTCAGAAATAGACTCTTTTACTTTTAGAATTCAAAGGGTTTAAGTAGATTAAAATTTCCTTTATGCTGGTGAATTTATTTTCGGTCTTTGGGGAGGGCGCTTCCGACGTTCGTCAGTGTTGGTGAGTTTTTGAGTGAGCTGGTTTTTATTAAATTATAGTGCTTTGGATATGTTCGCTTCTACAGAATGTCTGGTTTTTCATCTTGGTTTCATTAAAGATTTTGATGTATATTTATTATTACGTGCTTTATTGGTAATTGGAGGTATTGAATCTAACCCTGGACCGATGTCTCGCACTCCACCTTCCACCCCTCTTTCGGAATCGTCCATATCAGTTGTTGGAAAACGTCAAAGATCTCCTAGTGAACCGACTTTGAAATCTCAGCGATTGGAATCTTTTTTTCCTCCTTTGGTTTCTTCTTCAAATGTACCCCAAAATTTATTTTCCTTTTTAGAGGAAAAATTTGATACTATTTTGACTAAACTTGAAGATTTGTCTACTAAATTCGAATGGCTGGCAAATTTGCATAAAGATTTTGAACAACGTCTCCTCAATGTAGAGAAGAAGGTGGAAGAAATTTCAAGTTTAAATACCTCATCTACTGCTTCGACCTCCTATTTCTTATATCTTTTGGATTCGTCGATAAATGAACGTCAGAGAAATAATATTATTATTGCTGGATTAGAGGGAAACTCGTCTGAAGTTTTGTCCTTGGCTTCCGATATTTTAACATCTATTAAAAGACCTAGTGGCGACTCAATTTTGGTGAAAGATCTTAAAATAATCTCAAAAAACAAATTGGTGGTGGCTAAACTTGATATTGTCTCCGATAAAAAATTCATTTATCGGAATGTTCATAATATTCAGAGAAGGGAAGGATGCTCGAGGGTAAAGTTTTTTGATGATTTATACTGGAGATCGAGAGTTAGGAGAAAAAATCTTTTTCCTTTTTATCAAGAGGCCAAGAAGACCGGAAAAAATGCGTATATGAGAGCTGATTGTTTAACAATAAATGGAGAAGACTTTACGTTTGATTTAATAAATAATAAGTTGATGAAAATTGATCCTTTTTTATCACCAGGGAAGTCGCTGGATCGTCGAATGGACGAGAATTAAAAACTTCAATTGTTATTCCTCATTCTGAGGTTTCTTATACGTTAAAGGTATTGTCATGGAATAGTCAAGGATCATTGTTTGATAATTTTTCTGATAAGAGTTTTGTTGATTTTGTATCATCATATCATATTGTTGGTATAACTGAATCATGGATGACATTTTCGGTGAAAACCTTTCTTTCATCATTGGATTCCCAATTTTATTTTACTGAAATGTTAGCTCATAAACTTGAGGGACCTGGAAGACCGTCTGGAGGCTTGTTTTTAATGGTTTCTCGGAAACTTGGTAAGTTAGAAATTTGTCATCTCTCTGATAACATTATTATGGCTAAACTTATATTTGATAAACTTCTGTTTAAAGATCGTCCTGGGCTCTTAATTGTTTTGGTTTATATGTCTATTCAAAAATATGATTCGTTGATCGAGTATCTTGATAGATTGATTTTGGATTTTAAAGATGATGATGACATTATGATCCTTGGTGATTCTAACGCTAGAATCGCCTCCGAAGTAGATACACTTTATATAGGTTCTAATAGAAATTTTCATAATATTAGAAAGTCTAAAGATAAGATTTTTAACTATAGAGGAAAGAGATTTTTGAACTTGGTCAAATCTTGTGGAATGATTCTATTGAATGGTCGTTTCGTTACTGATTCTCCTGCTAATTTTACATTTATTTCCTCTTTAGGTGCATCAGTTATTGACTTGATAGCCATAAATCCTGCATTGGTTGATAATTTGGTGGACTTTAGAGTTTTGAATAAATTTGATTCTGACCATCTCCCCATTTCTATTGAGTTCAGGTTTGATTCTCTTCTTCTCAGTAAAGAATTGCCTATTGAGAAACGTCGTTATGTGTGGAGATCTTCATGTTTGGATAAGTATTTGTATAGTGTCACTAAGAGATATGCAGATATTAAGGGTGGATTTTTTTTGGATTCTTTTTCTTTTTATTCGTCTTTTGTTGATATGATTCTTGAGTCTGTAATTCAAAGTAATATGTATGTTAAATATGATTGTTCAAGAAAATTTGTAAAGTCTTGGTTTGACATTGATTGCCTACGACTGAAGAGAGAGAAGAATCGTGCTTTACGATTATTTCGGCGATCAAGAACTGAACAACAATTTAATATTTATTCTAATTTGGAAAAAACTTTTAAATCTCTTTGTAAAGCCAAAAAGAAATTATTTTGGAATAAGATTAACTTCCAATTATCACATATTAAAAACTCTTCTGAATTTTGGAAAATTGTTAATAAATTTAGAAATGGCAAAGTTGTGTATAATAACATCTCTATCTGTGATTGGTCGGATTATTTGAGAAAGTTTTTTTCTGGACCATCTTTAGTTGTACTGTCTATTTGTACTAATGTTAATACGGATCCATTACTCGATGATAATTTTTCATTTGATGAATTACAATTTGTGGTAAGATCTTTAAAAAATAATAAAGCCCCTGGACTAGATGCAGTTAAGGCTGAGATGATTAAATTTCTCCCGACTAATATTCTAAATGATTTGTTATATACATTTAATAATTTTAAAACTAATTATTCTTTTCCCATTACTTGGAAAAATATTTGTTTAAAAATGATATATAAGAAGGGTAATCGGTTTGATCCTATGAATTACCGTCCGATATCGCTAATTAGTGTAATTAGGAAAATTTTTTCTACGTTATTGGCTAATCGTTTGCGTCTTTGGCTTGAGCGGTCTCATACTATTTCTATTGGTCAAGGAGCTTTTGTAGTGAATAGAGGTGTTGGTTATAATCTATTTATATTTTTTGGAATTTTGCAATTAATTTTGACTAAGAAGCGGAGAAAATTATATGTTGGATTTATTGATTTGTCAAAGGCGTTTGATGCAATAGATCATGATATTTTATGGTCGAAGCTTTCTCGGATAGGTATGTCATCATCTTTTATTAATCTTATAAGACAATTGTTTTCGAATACCACTTATCAAATTGAAGTTAATCATTGTTTTTCGGAGGCGGTAACTGCTAATAAAGGGCTTCCACAAGGTGAACCACTTAGTCCTATTTTGTTTAATTTATTTGTTAATGATCTCTCGGAATTTTTTTGTAATCATAATACAATGGGTATATCCATATCACCAGAAATAGAATTGAACTGTCTTTTGTTTGCTGATGATATTGTAATATTTTCGTATTCACCTATTGGTCTTCAGAAAAAACTTGACCTCCTACAAGATTACTGTAAGTCTAATAAGCTATTTATTAATGAGTCTAAATCTAAAGTAATGGTTTTTCGGAGAGGGGGTAGACTGGGGAAAGCTGATAAATTTTATTTATTTAACTCTGAGTTGGAGATTGTCTCGTCTTACAAATATCTGGGTATTTATTTTACTCCACAGGGTTCTTTTTCTTTTCACTTAGAAAAATTGTTTTTGAAATATAAACTTCAGCTTTCTAATTTAATAAAGCTTATGGTCAGAATGAAGCAGTCTTCCATTAAGTCGTATTATCGATTGTTTGATTCCTTGATACGTTCAAGTTTGGGGTATATGTTCCCTATTTGGGGACCATCTTTTGTTGACAAATTGGAGAAGACGCAGTTGAGATTTATTAGATCAATATTTCATATTAATCGTTCGGTTCCTGGACCTGTTTTAAGATTTGAACTAGGTCGTCCACCAATGGCTATACATTTAACAATGACTATTTTTAGATATTGGAGTAAAATTTTGGAGTTACCAGATTATGACCCTAGAAAGTTGATTTATAATAAATTGAAATTAATAGGTGGAAAATCTTCGTTTGTAACTTGGTCTTCCTCAGTTGAAAACTTATTGTCTGAATTGGGTTATTCTACTGACTATTATGTTCAGTTCTCAAATAAAAATCTTTTTATGGTTGAAATACTTCAGTCATTAAAAGATAAATATTGGGCTCAAGATATTCAATATATTGAGCAAAAGAGTGGGTTTTATGAGACTTCCTTAATAGCTCCATGGACACCTCAACATTATTTATTGTCAAATTTAAATTATAATGTTAAATCTTTGATAATTCAATTGCGACTTAATGACTATACTATTGTATTAAATAGGCGTAGAATGAATATTTCCGCCCATTCTAACTGCCCATTATGTAACCGACTCTGTGAAAGTATTAAAAACCACTTATTTGTATCTTGTGAAATTACTGAACATTTAAGGGATAATTTATTGACAACTGATTTTGACTTGTATTGTTTATACGATGATAGTTTAAGCTCTGACATGCTATTGAAAGTTTATAAATTTTTCTGTTATTTATTTAACATGTTAACATAACATTATTAGTTAAGCTTTAATATCTTTGAAACCATGTATAACAATGTTTGTATTGATAAATATACAAGATTTGTAACCCCTTTGTAAAGGCGAAAGCCATAACAAATAAATGTTGGTTGATTGTTTGATTTTCGGTCTTTGAAGTTTGAGTTAATAAACTTTGTCTAATTTTCAATATACAAATGATTAATACTCATTTTTTTCTACAAGATTTAATTCGGGTAATTCAGTGTTTCTCGACATGTAAATCGCGGATCACTAAGATTCATCAACTAGTAGATGGGACGTTGAGTTCTAAAATGTAAAAGTGGTACAGTCGACCCCCCTATAACACGGTTGATTATTCCATTTTATATGAATTCCGTGTTGTACGAGTCATTTAGATTTTACAAATACGTGTGCCGGGATGTGAACGGATCACGTATTTGTAAAATCTAAGTGACTCGTACAACATGGAATTCATATAGAACGGAATAATCAACAGTGTTATAGGGGGGTCGACTGTATTTATTTGTTTAAGGCAGTTGAATGAATGAAAGAAAATTAATTACATTTTGTACATAGATTTGATTGAAATTAATTTCATGCAAATATTTTTAATAATATATTTTGTTTGTAATTATTCATATTAAGATGAAAATTTTTTAAAACAATAGATATAATACGTGTTATAGCAGAACTTTATAAACGTTATTTGTTCAATGATTACAAGTTTCACATGAAATACCGAATAACATTACAGAGAAATTCACTTATCGGCCGGTTTATTATTTATCTGTCTACAAAGCGAGAGAAATCATGTTTAGAATGTATACATAGGTGCCACAGTGTTACGTTATACACTGCTTTTCCTTGTAAGTGACCAGGAATCACATGATGCTACCCGGCATGGAATAGCCACGAGCAATGCGACTCGAAGCGCTAGAAGGGCTTTTAACTGATAACTTATCAGTTAAAGGCTTTCTGTTTTTACTTCAGTTTGTAATGTAAACCTGTAATTGTGCTTTGTGTGAATGAATGACACACACGAGGACAGAATTTAATTTTTACTTAATTACGGGGCGTCAATGTCCGTTAATTTAGAACACACGAAATAAGTGTCAATGAAAAAAAGACCTAAAGATTTTTCATCTGTCACTGAATGTAACATGTAATTGTTAATTCTTTGTAAAATTAGACTTTTGTGAGCTGTTTTCGGGTCGGGAAAAAATCTCCCTCTTAACGAACTTGTTTAATCACTTTTTACAACGGATGTTGATTGATAAATATTATGTTAGCGTAATGATTTTTTACTTTCAAACTTGTATAATAAAATAATGGAAAACTCCATGACGTACCAGTTTGGGACTAGCATTATTAGTTATAACAGTACAGTATACAATGACCTATACACATAGATTTTCAGAATACGATAGGTTACAAATAAATCAATTATTGTTCGTCGAGAATTACAAAACAATTTGACACGAATTCTAGAATATTTACATTTTCCATAACGAAAATTGTACAGACAAGTTTTACTTTTGTAATTATTTCTTAATTCTAGTCAAAGAGTGAGAGAAGTAGTATCGAAGAAACATTTAACTAATTAACTGAAGGACCGTCGATACTCCGTCAAAAACAATACATAAACATAAAAATCTTTACATTAACAACAGGTCACTTCGATATTAGTATTAATACCTATATTGATAATCAAATAACTCTGATTTATCATACAAAGTGTCTTCCTTAAAATATGTAAGAATATCTATATTCTATAAACAGGATTTTATTTCAGGCTACACCCCTTTTCAGTCTACTGAAAGACATATTTTATAATACTTCTTTGTTTATATAATAGAGATTTTTTTTAAATGCATACAAAAAATTTTCTTTTAAAAATTTCGCGATATTGAAGTTTTATTTCCTTATCGTACCAAAAAACGCTGCATTTTTTTAAAAGAAAAGACATCTTTATTCTATGAACAAAAAATTATTACGGGATACGATAATACGAAAAGTTTAATATCTATTTTTAAAACATTAGTCATGCATATATTGTTCATACAAGGTTGTCGGAAATCCTATAATTAACGTACAACAGACATGTTTGTTCGAAAGAAATAATAAATATTTTTCTGTTGATTTAGGATTTTTTCGAGTGAAATACGAATCCAAAACAAAGAAAACGAACAAATTATTATATCGGAAGCTCAGTTAAGTAAAGTCCTGAACAGGCAATTGGAACGTCATATTATATATTTTGAAAATTCGAAAGTACTGTTTATGCCTTATCCAATCGAGACCATCAGACAATTTGTTACGTAAGTTTTTCACGATATTTATCTTTCATTTAATTTCAATACACTGTCAAAAATTATAATTTATATTTTTTAACAGGTATGTAAAGACGGACGATCCCGGATTGTTTTCTTTTACACACGCTTTCAATCTGTATCATCTGAGTTTAAGATACGAGTTAGAGTATTTACGAAGGAAATGCAGATCATTTATCATTCGGGAAATAAATCTTAATACCGTCTGTTCAATTCACGATTTTGCACGTGGAATCGGTGATCTGGTCATAACTTATTATTGCTGGATAGCTTTCGACCAACACGGAGGAAGACTACTTTCAACAGTCGACTTTATGTGTTGTAAAATCGCAACAATTGATAGACTGCTATCTCGACCGATATATGAATCTGTCAGTGAATCGTTTTTACTACACGCCGTGTATCAGTGGAGCATAGAAGAAGTTAAAAGAAAACAGGGTGCAGACAACTTTCATTCCATGAATGAAAAATCGAAAAGGACTGCAATAAGAAATGTTATGGAGCCATTTATTGAAAAAGTCAGATTTCTTGCCATGAATGAATACGAATTGAAACATTTTGTTTTTAAAATGAACTTGTTAAGCGAAGTAGAAAAGAGTCATATCTGGCATGCTTTTAAGACTGGTAATTACTCCTTTTATCTCAGTTACTTCAGTCGAGAAACAAAAACAAGAAGCAGAATAAATTATTTTAACTTGTTCACGTATATAAATCGTGGAAATCCTTTTATTGTCATAAACAGAAAGACGAAAGATTACATATATTTTAGCAGCGAAGTAGTTGTGAGGGAAGATTGTTACGTCACGACTCTTCGATTTCCAATAAAGCTACGCGAAAGTTTTCCAATGCACGTATACGGGTATATTAACGATTTGGACTACGGACAGTTTTCGTTAAACACTGTTTGCGATAAAGACGGAGTAGCATATCTGCAAACATTTCTCTATCTAAAAAAATCTTGGTCAATTCGTTTATTTGCTTTCTTTTTCAGCGCTGAAAATGTCGAACCCGATATCGAGTTTTCACCTGAACTGAGTTACTTCGTGAGCGACGAAGGAACAGATGCCAGGAAATTTGAAGACAAATTTCTAACCTGTGACAGAAACCTTATGAATAATATTTACTTTTCGGTTGATTCATATTTTTGAAGTTTCCCTGGAAAACCGCGAAATCTAAACGAGAATATAATGTAAAGTTAATTCGAATATGATTATTTCTTACTGTATCACTGTGTTATTTCTGCAAAATGTGTGTATTTGAATTTATTGTGTTTAAAGAAAACAAAATTTAAATATAAAGTGCTTATTAATGTAATTTTTCTTTTTGATACGTAAATTTTCATTAGTCAAGATGTTTATATATCAAAATTTAGTATTTGCAAATATATCAAGAAAGTTTATAATTGTCATCGTTTGAATGATAATTACGTGGGTGATTTTATTTTTTATTGCAGTTGATGTCCGAGAAAGAAATATAATTACAATCATACAGCATTTATCTTTTATTTCTTCATGTTAATGACGATAAAAATAATAAGAATTAAAACTAGAATTTTTGTCTAAATGCACGAGCTACTGGATATCCACGTTTCAATTTTATTATTTACATATTTTTATTTTATTATTGTTCTTTGTATTCGCTCTCAAGAATGCGATGTTTTTCATTTACGATACTTTGCGTAAATTTAATTGGCTTGAAATTTGATTTCTTTTTAATTGAATGTGTCCTGAAATTTTACCTGGTTACTGACATTTTCTGTTAAAAGAACAGTGCGTTTAGAACGAGTTGACGGCAGAATTTCTACAGCAGCAATTTGCATAAAAGTTAACTATTCAAAAGCTTTATAAGGTATAGCTTTAATACTACGTGATTACACTTAGGTAGTTTTCATAGCGGTACTGTACTTATTTTTAACTCTAAACAATGAAACATTGAAGACCGTTTAGAAATTTTCGGCGAATTTTTTAAAAATGATCAATTTCTAAAAATAAATATAAAAATATTTATTTACTATATTTACAGCATTCGCATTTTGGAGAATTTTTATTGTCATATTATTTAAAAATTTACATTAATGTATTTTATTTTGTGGCAATTTTAATGATGCTTGTTTATTGCATGCGTGTTTTATGAATGGATATATTTAGGTACAAAGACAAGCAATTAAGTAACTTTTTAAAAATTTTTTTCTGTGTTGTATAATACTAACAGAAGACATTAATTACCTATTATTATTTTTTCCTTTAATTGAATAGAATGCAAATTTCTTATAACATGCTAGAGTCGAAATTTCTTTTGAGTTCGGCTTTTCTTCCTTAACATAAAGTGTAACATAACACACATGAAATGTAGATAGTCAATAAGTAAAAAAGCCGTAGAATAATAGAGAAAAGTTTTAGACAAAAATGCTATTTCAATTACAACTTGTAGGAATTAGTATTTTTCCTATCAGTTTGGGTTATTTCCAGCTTTATAGATGTAATAGGTAAATTGGTAGGTTGTAAGGCTGTTTTCTTAAATATGTTTAGTGTTTACACGCATTAATTAAAAACATGGAATATAATTTCTGATAATTTATATTATAATGATAATATTTATTAGATGCATTTTAGCATTTTATTATATATATATTTATTATCTTTTTCGTTGTGGTACTGAAATTAAGATGCATTATTACAATCGACGACGAATCGAAGAAATACATAAACAGAATTTTTTTTCAGTAAATTTTCCAAATTTTTCATTGTGAAATTTTTATATAAATAACATTAAATTACGTACTTAACACCCTACCTGGTCTCAGCAGTGGCCAACCGGTCTTAGTACCCTGAAAACTGAGTTCGGTCGTGGGTTTGCGCCTCGCTCGGAGGGGCTGGCAACGTGGAGTTTTCGAGTTTACTTCACGTCTGTAAATGCCTAAATAGGGACCAATTTTTTTAAAAAAAGACCTCCCGGAAGGCATCCCTTCTAAACAGATCGATCAAGTTGCGTAGCCATAACTCCAACAAACCAAAACGAACCGAACCAAAATTCTATTTGTATATTATCAACGAAAATTACTCAAAAGATAGACTTGAACGCAACTTATAAAACTACAATTTAATACATTCATCAGATTATTTTTCTTGTTTACTAAACACACTACTCTTTCCTATTACTACCGTGTCAATATTTCATGAAAGCTAATGAAAATATTAGTGAATTATAGTTGTTATATTAATTATATACAACGCTGTGTTCATTTATTCCATTAAGACTTATCGATTTTATATTTAGGTAATTTTATGGAAATTATATGTACAGGTACTACACATCTGTACTGTACTTATATATTAACATCAGGACTGAGTCCGATTACTTCAGTGTATTACAAGTAACATGTTCATATATACAGGTAACCCCCGTATAACACGGGAGTTAAGTTCCAAAAAATTGCCGTGTTATACAAAACAAAGAACTACTGCGAAAAGGGGAGTTAGGTTCCAAAAATTCAAAAACATGTTGTTAAATCCTTATTTAAATCGGATTTATTATTTATTTTTTTCATACGTAAAATACTAATTTATTATTTAAGTAAATATTTCACCAGAGTATTATTTATTTTGATATGATGATCTCAGCATGAACATCATAAACTGGTAACAGTTTGTGGGTGCGTTCGTTAATTAATAGCGGTCGCTCTGCAACAGGAGTTCACCGCTGTTTGTAGGCATTTAGGAACAATGGTGAAAGAAAGATGGCAGCGCCCGCACTATCGATAATACGAGGTAGGAATCTATAATTCTAAAATGAGCTTTTAGAGGCAAAAGAAGGGCCCCAATTGTAAAATTTAACCATTGAATGGATTATTTGTTGAAAGAGCATTCGAAGTAGCCACGAAAACAATTAGAATGCTCGCGCGAAGTTAAGCGGAAGTATAAAAGAACGCATCCTTTATTACATTCCAAGTTGTACGAGGGTTTTACCCGATTCCCGAACCGTGTCAGAGTGAACCCGTGCTATAAAAGCCCCGTGTTATATAAAGGATTTTCCCAATTCTCGAACCGTGTTAGAGCGAATCCGTGCTACAGAAATGTCGTGTTATACGGGGGTTACCTGTACATATAGAATAATCTTTTACTAAATTTCGTGAAAACCGTGCGTTATAGTAATACATCAGGCAATTTTTAGTGATTAATACGTATCCCACGATATTCAATCGCAGATGACTTTAACTCCTTATCAAGAAAACTTAACTTCATTTATCCATTCATCAGAACTGTTAAGGTGTTTGGTATTCAGATACTGTATATGAATAATCGCCCAGTCGACACTAAAAGTTACATCGGCAAACTTTTTAGTATTTATGTCACCATTATAGAAAAGTTTTGGTGGTTCAATATGTTACTGTTTTCCGCAACCATCGTCAAAGAAAATGTCTTGTGTAGTAGTTGGATATTCGTGTTTCCGAAGCAGAAAGACGCTGTTACCTTGGTCATAACATTGTTTCTATTATTTTACAGCTTTCAATTCAGCTATTTGAAAACAGAAAATTGTGCTTACCAAGCGAAAAGAGTGCATTTGAAAGTGAAGTCACACAAATGTGAGAAATCGAAAATTTATTTTCGATATTGTCATGTTTGGCATTCTTTACCACAACCAGAACCGTAATTTTTTTTAGATCTTCGTATACCCCGCCTTTACCGACAAATCGGTTGTGGAAATCGTTTTCTGTGACGTGAATATAAAACTAATTATGATATTTGCATCGGCTCAAATATTCTTTATATTATCCTCTATCGGGGCGTTATATTATAAAATATACGTGAGATTACGAAATCTGAGCCAGAAACTAACTTTGATCTGTTAATCTTTCTAATATTATCTGTAAAACCAGTATAATAAGTCCTGATAATAGAAGATAAGAATTTATAGTCGAAAATTTACATATTAATAACTTTTACCTCCATTAATGTACAAGGAATACAACTTCGCATCGAAGAAATATTGTACTTCATTGGGATTTGTGGTACTGTATTCAGTGTATGAACGAAACAGGAGAATTTTATCTAGCATCGATTTACACATTCTACGTATATTTTTCTCCTCTATTTTATATCAGCTTCATTATTCATGAAACTTGATTGGCTTATTCTTATGAAAATTATGGCCATAGCTGTAGTATTATTCACTGTCAGTTTCATGTTTGCTTTCTCTCTTTAGAAATTCACTTCGGCAGTAAATGAATATGTTTGGATCAGAATATTTATTAACACACAAAAGTAGAAATATCGATTCTATAACATAAATAAACATTTCGTAGATATAATTTTCTGGACGGTGAATATTTCGTTCTTTGTAACGTTAATCGATGGCAACCTTTACAGTTTATTAGTTAAGAATATGTACAAAAGAAAATGTCAATAGTAGAAAAGTCAATAATAAATGCATTGATATCGAGTTATCTGTCGGTCCGATACAATATTTACAAGAGTAAGAAAATTCGCTACGACGGTCGTGTGAATATATCAATATTAACAAACGTAATTAATCATTAATATCTTTACATCACTGATAACACGGTATCAACTTGTCTTTTATGTAATCGAATTTATAGAAAATGCAAGCACATAAAATTTAAATCAGTAATTATTCCGTTTAATTTATTGGTAAATACGAACTGTTTGAGGATATTTAAATTTCAAAATTATGCAAATCTGACATTAATTGTTAAAATTAAAATTATATTATTTGTTTAAGATGTATCTTGAAGGCAGCCAACATTTCTCTTGTTGAATTTACTTAAAAAATTACAAGTTTTCAAATAGGAACTAAATATTTACATCTGAATAAAAAAATAAATTTAATATTGTAAAGTAATTACATACAAGATATGCAGAAATAACTTTTTATGCATTTCATTGTAGTAATTAATATAAACGAATTAATTTGTACGTCAACATTAAAGTTAATATTTTGTATTTATTAGATTTTCTGCGTGAAAGTGTGAAGAAGAGGCAATTTTTCGGTGAAAATTCTGGCAAAGAATTCTGTGTGAAGTCACACTTTAAAATTTATAGAAGTATTCGCACAGGAGAAAAGCTGTTCTGTTGTCATTTATGCAGAAAAACGGATTTTTCGCGGTTATTCCGGAGAGAAATCTTTTATCTGCAATTATTGCAAACAGAGATTTACACAAAAGATCAATCCATTAAGGAGTTTTCTAGTTTATAAGGGAGAGAAACAATTTAACTGCGATTATTATTTACAGAAGTTTGCTCACAAATACAGTTTGAATTTTCACATGAAACGCCTTAGCAAAGAGATTCTTAATTAACATAAACATTATAAAGGTTTGAAATTTGAAAAAAACTTTGCTGTTTATTCATTTCCTACGACTTTCAGTTTTTCTATCTGACAATATAAAAAATAAAAAACTTATAGTGTAAGAAGAAACCTACACTTACTCCAACGGGACTCGAAACAACAACCACGTCAACATGAATCTAATGCACCACGATTACACCACTGGCCACATTGTCAACAACGTAAATTATAAAGGTGTTAATTGATTGTGAAGTGACTTCAACGTCATGCTGTTACTCGTAAGCACATAATGGTCCACTTAGTTATATGCTAATTTCTTAGATACGTGTATGTGAGATCACAATAAATACATGTATAAAGCCGGTTTTAATGTCGGGTATACAAAATATTTAAGTAATGCAATTAAAATTTAAGTGCTCCTGTGGAGAGGCGGTGACGTCAAGTGACGTGGCATCTGCAGCCAATTACTGTGATAATTCATTTTTACTTTTTAACGTGTGTTTCCTCCGTTCTTCGACGTCATACTCGAAAGTTCAGTGCGGAAACAAGCCGAAGAAATGGCGGATCGAGAGGAGCAGAGTCGGTAAGTAGTTGTATTGTTTTCTGCATATAGCATTTTTATATGTGTGGGCGCAAAATACTTTTACGTGTTTTGCTATTGACTATCGTATGTGTCTGTTTTATAAAAAAAAATTAATAGAAGAAGCGATGCTGTACTGCTATCGGAAGCTTAAAAAATAACGTGATACATGATATAAGTTGATTTTTTGTCTGTTATTTGTACTTATTTCATCACATATGTTCGCGTCAAATGAACATACTCTTAGTGAATTTTTATATATAAATTTTTTAGAATATTTAAACTAAAAGTATTTAATTAACAAAAGTTTCAATTGTCTTACTGGTGACAATAACTAAGCAAAACTTCACAAAAAGCTTATTTCCTTATGTAAATAACCGTCTGTTTACAATGTTCGAACTCGAGAAATGGACTCTTCCACTTTTAGGGTTAGAAGGGTTTAAGTAGATTAAAATTTTCTTTCTTTTAGTGAAATTATTTTCGGTCTTTAAAGTTTGAGTTAATAAGCTTTGTTTAATTTTTAATATATAAATGATTATTACTCATTTTTTGTACAAGTTTTAATTCGGATAGTTCAGTGTTTCTTGGCATGTAAATCGCGAATCCCTCAGTTTAATTAAGAGAGGGAAGCTGAAGATTTTTTCTAGACTCTGAAATAAATTACGAAAGTATAATTATACAAAGAATTAAGAATTATATGTTATATTCAGTAACAGATGATAAAATCTTCATGTCTTTTTTTCATCAACACTTATTTCGTATGTTCTAAATCAGTGATTCCCAAACTTTTTCAATCCACCGCCCCGTTTGTTCTATAAAGTTATACCCAACGCCCCCTAATCCATTTTCTCTTTTGTGAAAAAGGATTGGAAATATTATTAAAATAACTTTTCTATGAATCTCACACTTTGTGCCTTTACCAAACATTGTTCTCAACATCTGGAAACCATTAAACGCAATGTTTCCTCTTATCAGCCCTAATATTGCCTTTGGTCATCGTTCAATACTCTGCCTCCAGCGCCCACTAGATCTACTTATCGCCCACAACGGGGCGCTATTGACCACTTTGAGAAACGCTGTTCTAAATAAACGAACATTGATGCTCCATAATTAAGTAAAAATTAAATTTTCTCCTAGTGTTTATCTGACATTCACACAAAGCATAACTACAAGTTTACATTACAAATAGTGATGTGCCGAATCGTTAAAAATGTATATCCGCGGATACGGATACGGATCTCAACTTTCGTACTCAGTCCGCGCCGGTGCGTGTGACCTTGGACCGATAGTTGACGCTTTGCGTTAATAACGCGACGTGATTTGACTTGCACTGCGCGCGTTTTCGTTTATAGTGTGAAAGTGTGCTAAATTAAAATTCACCACAAAAGCAGACAGGATAAAGTAACAAAAGTTAATAAAATTTTTCAATTAAGGTATTTCGCGTCTTTATACAGATTCTATTTCGACGGATTCCAACTTTACGGTACAAACAGTAGCTGCGAAATTACAGCGATAATAATAGTTCGCTGTATCCAAAGCACGTGTACAATATAGATCTCGATCGCGACAATATAACCCGGAACCTTAAAACTAACCTTAAACACTAACTTAACACTAATAACAAAAAAGGGATAGAATTAAGAAGACAGAAAAAATAATAGATAAGATAGAAATAGGGATATCTGGGGTTTTGTCCCTTTCTCGGCTTGTTTCTTTATGCGTACTGTTGGGTGGGATAACACGCGTTCTTCTCCTATAACTGGCCAGTTTTCTTCTTCAATAATTTGGATTTTTCCTTCCACAGTCGTCAATACGACCTTAAAACAGGATCTTTTTTCTGAACTTATTTCTGAACTATCCGGTCATTGAAAATACGACTCCCAGTATTCTCACCTCGTCCGTACACTCTGCCGTCCGGTATACGAATGACCTGCTACGTCACTTTTCTTTTTTCTTAGGCTTCTGTTTACACCTTTGCTCCTTAAATTTCTAGGAACTGCTCATCCCAACCAAGGGACAGGGAATAGATAAGAAAGTTCTAGAAGAAAATAGAACAATAGAACAAAGGGTAGAAAAAAGAAACGAAACTAAACTAAATCCGTATGCGCATCCACGGATACGAATTTAGTTTAGTTTTGTTTCTTCTTTCTATATTATACTATTCAGTGCAGTACGAATTTGGCGTTAGCCTTGACCCTCCGGCATCGGAATTTTGAAGTTAAAGGGGCGATACTAAGTAACGGTTTTATTGAAGGGAGCGATACTACATTAAAGGGAGCGATGATTCATTAGAGAATGAGAAACACAGCTTTAACTAATAAGTTATTAGTTAAAGGCCCACCTAGCGCATGATCGCATTGCTTGTGGCTATTCCATGCCGGGTGGTTCCTTGTCGCTTACAAGGAAAAGCAATGCATAACCTAACACTGTCGTACCTGTATATTCATTCTGAACATGATTTCTTTCGCTTTGTAAACCGATAAACCGGTCGAATAAGTCAATTTCTCTGTAATGTTATTTGGTACTTTCATGTGAAACTTGTAATCATTAAACCAATAACGTTTATGAAGTGCTTTTTAACATATATTACATCTATTGTTTTAAATAAAACATTTTATTTTTATTGTGTTTAAAATGTGTATTAAATATGCCGTTCTAAAACAGAGTTAAAAAAAACGCTTAACGATCTTAATATAAATAATTAAAAATATTGGCATCAAATTAATTTCAATCAAATCTGTTTACAAAATGTAATTTATTTTCTTTCATTCATTCAACTGCCTTAATTAAACAAATACCACTTTTACACGTTGATTAACGAACTTGTTTAATTACTTTTTAAGATAAATGATAACTGATTAAAATTATGTTAGCATAAAGACATTTTACTTTGAAGCTTTAGGCTTGTATAACAAAATAATGGAAAACTCCAGGAAATAGTAGTTTGGGACTAGCATTATTAGTTATAAGAGTATAGCATACAATGACTTATACACACGGAGATTCAGGATACGATAGGTTACAGAAAAATCAATTATTGTTCGTAGACAATTACAAAACAAATCGTGGATTATTTACATTTTCTATAACGAAAACTGTACAAACAAGTTTTTGTTTTTTAATTTTTTTTTTAAATTCTAGTCAGGGAAGTGATAGAATACGTATCGAAGATACATTTATTCAACAAAGGACCGTCGAGAATCCGTCAAAAACTATACACATAAGCAAAAATCTTTACATTAGCAAAAGGTCAGTTTGATATATAATATTAATATCTATTGATAATCAAATACAGTCGACCCTCCTATAACACGGTAGATACGTTCCTGTTTTTATGAATTCATTTCTTAAAAGTCCAGCCAATCACAGCCCAGTACGTATGCAGTTTACGGACTACGGCTGTTCGAAAAGTTATTTCCATAAAATTAACAGATTCTAGACTAATTCGACTCAACATATCCAAAATACGTATAATTTTTGAAAATAATCTGTATAAACTATACTATAAACAAAAAATTGTAGGATTACTTACCGAGTGCGCGCCGTTCGACGACGTCAGTGCTTTAGCTTGTTTTCGTTGCGGAGTGGCGCATCCCGTGCTTCCTGATAAATTATTTTTTTTTGCGAAGAATTCGTTGAACTTTGGAGACATCATTAATATAAATATAATTTTTATGAACGTTAAATAATAAATGGTCCGCTGATCGTTTAAACTCAACGGTTCGTGCAATCCTGTCGCAAATATCTATTTTTAAAATATTAGTCATGCATTTATACACCATTTATTTATACACCATTGTCGGAAATACTACAACTAACGTACAGTACAACAGAGATGCTTGTTTCAAAGTAATAATAAATACGTTTCTATTGTTTAGGATTTCTTCGAGTGAGATACGAATCCAAAACAAAGAAAACGAAGAAATTATTATATTAGAAGCTTAGTTAAATAAAGTCCTGAACAAGTAATTGGAACATCATATTATATATTTTCAAAATTCGAAAGTACTGTTTATGCCTTATCCAATCGAGATCATCAGACAATTCGTTACGTAAGTTTTCCACGATACTTACCTTTCATTTAATTTCAATACATTCTCATAAATTATAATTTATATTTTTTAAACAGTTATTTACAGACGGACGATCCCGGATTGACATCTATTACACACGCTTTCCATCTGTATCATCTGAGTTCAAGATACGAGTTAGAGAATTTAAAAAAAAAATGCATATCATTTATCATTCGGCAAATAAATCTGCATTTCGTCTGTTCAATTTACGATTTTGCACGTGAAATCGGTGATCTGGTCATAACTTATTATTGCTGGCTAGCTTTCGACGAACACGGAGAAAAACTACTTTCAACAGTCGACTTTATGTGCTGTAAAATTGCAACAGTTGATAGACTGCTCTCTCGANTCGAAAGTACTGTTTATGCCTTATCCAATCGAGATCATCAGACAATTCGTTACGTAAGTTTTCCACGATACTTACCTTTCATTTAATTTCAATACATTCTCATAAATTATAATTTATATTTTTTAAACAGTTATTTACAGTCGGACGATCCCGGATTAACATCTATTACACACGCTTTCCATCTGTATCATCTGAGTTCAAGATACGAGTTAGAGAATTTAAGAAAAAAATGCAGATCATTTATTATTTGGCAAATAAATTTGCATTCCGTCTGTTCAATTTACGATTTTGCACGTGAAATCGGTGATCTGGTCATAACTTATTATTGCTGGCTAGCTTTCGACGAACACGGAGAAAAACTACTTTCAACAGTCGACTTTATGTGCTGTAAAATTGCAACAGTTGATAGACTGCTCTCTCCAGCGATATATGAATCTGTCAGTGAATTGCGTTTACTCCAAGCCGTGTATTATTGGAGCATAGAAAAAGTTAAAAGAAAATTGGGTGCAGACAACTTTCATTCGATGAATGAAAAATCGAAAAGGAATGCAATAAGAAATGTAATGGAGCCATTTATTGGAAAAGTCAGATTTCTTTCCATGAATGAAGACGAAATGCAATCTTGTGTTTTTACAATGAACTTGTTAAGCGAAGTAGAAAAGAGTCATATCTGGCATGCTTTTAAGACTGGTAATTATTCCTTAAACACTGAGGAAAAAAACAGTCGAAATAGCAATGGCAACTTACCATGTATATTATAATTTGCTCTCGTTTCATGCTGGTAAGCCATTCGTATGATGTCAACCATACTTCTGGTGTGGTTAAAAACAATGTGTTTTAAAATGTTTTTTTCTTCTTTTTTTCATCCTACAGGACTTGATATTGAAAACTGTAGAACCTGGCTTTATATCTTCAAAGGAAGAACGACGAATGACGCATACAACGTCCCAGATTTCTCATTGATGATAACGTTCGTTACTCTGACATGGAACAGGTTGTCCTGATCCATAATCCTTTGTAATCAACTGCCTTTGTTCATATGGAGATTGCAGCCTTAAGTGCTTTTTCTCGGTAAGACGTGTTTATTGATCGCCATATCTCCTACTCAGTCGTTATTGGCAAGGAGAAAACCCGAAGCAGCCAGCCTGTCCGATCGCGGCGCGAACCCACGACCGAATTTCCCAGTGTTTAGGGTCTGGTCACTTTTTATAAATTTTTAACGATGCAACCTTTTAAAATATTGTATAACAAAAAATAAAATCTTTAATTCGAGAATAACAAAAAAATTATTGTTTTGGAGAATTATTTTTTTTTTCTACTTGGTTCTTACAACAGGAAACAATACCCCCGGAATATTTTTTATAATAAAAATAAAATTGTATATAGGAAGATTTAAGTTTTTTTTTTTTTTTTTTCAAATAACAAAG